CTCCCTTCCTTCCTTCTCTCTCTCTCTCTCTCTCTCCAGACTAACACGGCTTCCCCTTTGTAAAGCAATTAAACATATCAATAAATTCTAATCCAGTAATTTCAAACTGGGGTCCGTCACGCTTTAATGGTGAAGAAGGGTAATTTTCAACTGCGAAGGCCTTCTGCGGATTTCATTGCTGTACAACATGGCACGGTTCAATAATCCCTTGTTAAATCTTGATTCGGAGCAGAAGGAAACCATGGGTCTTTAAAGATTGAAATGCACAGTTTATTAAAGAACTGTTCGATGATTTCACTGACTTTTGAAGGACACTTTTGTGCAGGGGTCATTTCCTGCAGGAGCGCACAGGAGCAGAGCTCCGGCAGTAAAGAGCCCAGGGGGTGGGCACATGCAACAAGCCCCACCCCCTGCTCCCAGAAGCCCTCAGTCAGAGCAAGAAGCAGCCAGGTAAGTTGCAGAGCCCTCCCCGGCCCCCCGGCCCCAAACAGTCCAGTGGCACCTTTAAGACCAAGTTTTATTCAGGTACAAGCTCTCCCTCCTCTGTGAGGACAGATCTGCACGCCCACCCCCCCAATAGCTAGCAATCCAAAACAGTCCAGTGGAGCCTAAGCGGTGGGTGTTGCCTTCTGCAAAGCGTTTCACTGTAGTTAAGTAAAACGGCCGTGTGTCTTTGGGAGCAATCGCCCCTGGGAGTTGAAGTCTTTAGTTAGACATCCAAAAGCATTCCTGTGACTGGCTGATCAACAGTCATTTCCTGCACCCAGGCGTGCGGGGATTTGAGTTTTACAATCAGGGGTCATTTCCTGCAGGACACATGCAACAAGCCCCGCCCCCTGCTCCCAGCAGCCCTCAGTCAGAGCAAGAAGCAGCCAGGTAAGCTGCAGAGCCCCCCCCCTGGCCCCAAACAGTCCAGTGGCACCTTTAAGACCAAGTTTTATTCAGGTACAAGCTCTCCCTCCTCTGCGAGGGCAGATCTGCACGTCCCCCCCCCAATAGCTAGCAATCCAAAAGAGTCCAGTGGAGCCTGAGCAGTGGGTGTTGCCTTCTGACAGACTTCCGGTGATGTCAGGGGGTGTGGCCTATGCAAATATGTTATGCTAATGAGTTATGCTAATGAGCTCCTGCACCTCTTTTTCTACAAAATGACCCCTGCTTATGTGTCTGTCAAAGGGAGCTTTTACCCCCCCCCTTTTCCTTGTGTGTGTGCATCCGTGCCTGGAAGTCATGGCAACCTCTGGCGACTCCTACTGGGGCAGGGAGAACGTTCAGAGAAGTGGCACGATAGCCTGCCCCCCCATCTCCCACCTCTGGTATTCCTCGGAGGTCTCCCACCCAAGTGCTTGCCAGGGCCGACCCTGCTTAGCTTCCGAGATCTGACAAGATCGGGCTGGCCTGGGCTATCCAAGTCAGGGCGAAGGGCGTTTTAACTTTTTGAAAAGCTCCTACCCTGAAACTTTTCGGTCTCTAAAGTGCTACTGGACTCGACCTGATTGTTCTACCGCAGATTAAACGGTTCCCCTCTGAAACTATTTACTTTCGGTTTGTTCAGATTGCTCCTTCATCGAATCTGACCCCAGCCGTACGCCAGTTTCCCTCTCACACAATGCCACCTTGTTCTTTTGTGTTTATTTTTAAACGGCTTTTCTTCTATTGCCAATTTAGCCTCCTGGTCGGCCTTATCAAGGAACAGAAAAGTCTGTGAGCAGAGAGAGAGGGGAACGTTCACCCTTTTGTAGGGCTGCCACCAGTGTTCCCTTTAAGCTGAGTTAGTGTGAGCTAGCTCACAGTTTCTTTAGCCTCCAGCTCACACATTTTTGCCTTAGCTCAAGAAGGATGGCTCCTAATTTATGCAGTAGCCAAATCGGTCGCTCACAACTTTAATGCCAGCAGCTCACAAAGTAGAATTTTTGCTCACAAGACTCCATAGCTTAGAGGGAGCATTGGTTGCCACCCCAGCAAGGGGTGGGTGGCCGTCAGTGTTCCCTCTAAGCTGAGTGAGTGTGAGCCAGCTCACAGTTTTTTTAGCCTTTGGCTCACACATTTCTGTCTCCACTCAGGAAGGATGGCCCCAGAGCAAACTAATTTATGCATCCGCCAAATCGCTCGCTCACCACTTTAATGCCGGTCGCTCACAGTTTGGTGTAGTGGTTAAGTGCGCGGAGAGCCAGTTTGGTGTAGTGGATTTGATTCCCCACTCCTCCACTCGCACCTGCTGGATGACCTTGGGCAGGCCGTAGTTCTGATAAGAGCTGTTCTTGAAAAAGAGCAGTTTCTGTCAAGAGCTCTCTCTTGGTGTAGTGTAGTTTGGTGTAGTGGATAAGTGTGCGGACTCTAATCTGGGAGAACCGGGTTTGATTCCCCACTCCTCCACTCGCACCTGCTGGATGATGTGCAGACTCTAATCTGGGAGAACCGGGTTTGATTCCCCACTCCTCCACTTGCAGCTGCTGGATGACGTTGGGCAAGCCACAGTTTTGATAAGAGCTGTTCTTGAAAAAGAGCCGTTTCTGTCAGAGCTCTCTCAGCCCCGCCGGCCTCACAGGGTGTCTGTTGTGGGGAGGGGAAGGGAAAGGAGTTTGTAAGCCGCTCTGAGACTCCTTTGCGTAGTGAAGGGCGGGATATAAATCCAATCTCTTCTCTCTTCTTCACAAAGTAGAAGTTTCGCTCATAAGACTCCACAGCTTAGGGGGAGCATCGGTAGTCTGTCTGTAGCAGCAGAAAATAGCAGGCGTTCAGTTGCACCTTAAAGACTAACAATATTTGCGGTTGGGGAGGAGCTTTCGTGAGTTTTTTTTTAAAGATATTTTGGGTATATGCTTGAGTGCCTGGAAGTCATGGTGACCTCTGGCGACCCCTAGTGGGGCCTGGACATTTCAGAGAGGTGGCTTCAGAGAGCCAATTGGGTGTCCTGGTTAAGTGCGCGGAGTCGAATCTGGGAGAACCGGGTTTGATTCCCCACTCCTCCTCCACTTGCAGTTGCTGGATGACCTTGGGCAAGCCACAGTTCTCTTGGAGCTGTTCTCTCAAGAGCAGTCCTTGAAAGAGCTCTCTCAGCCCCACCTATCTCCCAGAGCGTCTGTTGTGGGGAGGGGAAAGGATTGTAAGTCACACTGAGACTCCTTCAGGTAGTAAATCCAATCTCTTCTCTTCTCCTTCTTGCTATTGCCTGCCCCTGGATCCCGGGCCCTGGTATTCCTTGGACGTCTCCCTTCCAAGACCTTGCCCAGGTTGGCCTTGGTTGATCTGACAATATTGGGCTTCGTTGGCCATCCAGGTTCAGGGCAAAGAAGTATTTCCTTTTGTCCATCCTGAAAGATGGAGACGAATTGTCGTTCTGGGAGATAAGAACATAAGAGACGCCAATGTTGGATCAGGCCAATGGCCCATCCAGTCCAACACTCT